AGGAGGAAGTCATGTTACGTAGAATAACAAGCTATAAAGTTCAATTCAATTTATTTTGTATAGCCCAAAATCACAATTCTGACAGAAATTATTCATATAATGAGAGTAGTAAGTATAATAATGATGGAAAAATTACGACTGAGAGTGCTAACATGCTAGACTAAGATTGCACACATGATAAATATTACCTCGTAAACATCAGCATGTCAACACTGTGAGCATGTTGGCATGCTGATGTTAGTATTTAGCTCAAAGTATAACCTCTGTCCTCTTAAAAAACAGTTCTTCTTGGCTCATATTAAAGAAGTAGTGCTTCCCACCACCCACCTCCCCCTATCCTTCCACTGTTTACTAGGGCGTTTACGCAATCAGTTTGACCTCCTGTTGAATGCTGCTGATTCTTAGTGCTTGTTTGCCTTCCTGTGTACAAGGGTATGCTGCTGATTCAGTCTCTTCTCACCCCATTAACTCAGCAATAAGTAACCAAACTTCCCCGAGGTGACTCCATGCACCCTTCTGTATATCAGTCTTGCTCTCACTCCATTGACTATATACTATAACTCACCACTGCTGTGTTCACAATCCTAAATGCTTTAGTTTTTTTGTCACATATAGATGGGCTGCAGCATCATCAAAGTCAACACAACTAAACGGGATTCACTCAGGCGATGCTTGAGCTCTCAGTTGAAAGCCTCTCCATCAGCTGTACCCCTGCATGTTAGGATCAGCACACAGGCAAGTGCAACTGTGTGTGTTTGTGGAAGTGTTAAGTGAGCCATCTGCAGGTTGTACCACCACTTCACTTCAGAGTTCAACTAAATAAGGGTAATGTGTCAACCAGTAACATGACATATTAACAGTACGACACAAATAGGATGTAAAAGGTCCAAGGCCTGTAACCTAAACATGATATTACAACCTGCGACAGTCTCGTCAATGTGCTTACGTTCAGCCATTGTGACAGGAATAAAGTATGACATTATAGATTTCTGGTGTGCAACTGTGAATACTTTATAAAATAACCTATTGATGGAGCAAACCATTCAGACAATCATTTGCCTCATAGTGTACCCTTTTAAATGACCAGGGTCTTTAACTACTACTGTGAGGGATTATGTATCTCAAACAACTTCCATGAGTCTGGTTATAGAATTATATAATGTATCAAAATGAATAGAAGCCAATAGATGTTTTGTATATTTTAGCCCATCAACTAGTAACAAATTAACAAACTATTAACTGATAATGTATGGATTACATTACAGCTAACCATTTAGCAAACAATGGTGCAGTGTTTTAGAAATGTGAATACATCTTTCTTCCATTCCAGGCCTCTGTTGGCTTCCATTCATTTTTATACAATTTGAAAATATGTTAAAACAAATGTGTTGTTTCCTTACAACATGAATATATGTGAATTTCACAAATAGCAGACTTATTTAAAATGATAGAGACTAATTTAAGTTTTTGTCTGACTTCTAATTGAATTATTTTGCACTGCTATGTGTAACGATCCCTCCTTTCACCTTGCCGCTCTGCTGTCACGGTGATATTTCCCCAGTGGGAGGTCTTTGTCATGCACACGCTCAGGTTAATTAAGACACCTGGTTACATCTGTACACGTTTAAGCTTTCTCCAGGAGACATCTAGCAGGGGAACTGGGTTTTGTGCATACATGATATTGAAGAAAACCTAGTTGCGTAAGTGCATGTACACGCACTGATTAACATAAATGAATGCGTACTTTATGTACACTGCTAATAGATTGTTTCTACTGCACAGAAATAAATGAAAATCAATGGCTGCCTGAAATGGTAGAAACACATTTACTACAAATCACAATGTTACATCAGTGCCAATAGTTTAGTTTGGGACTTTGTTGAGAGATTTTCTCTCTGCAGTTCTTTATGATACGTTGATAAGTTTCTGAAGGACCTTTGAGAACAGAAAATGGGAAGTTTAGAAGTGTTTTACGTTACCGTTAGTGTTAGACTTGCTTGGATTTTATAGGTGAGCATGACATTGCTGCTGCTGATGAAATGCACAAGTTCATAACGACCAAAATTAAAATATTAGATGGAACCTTATTGTTAAGTTTAAAACATTTCTGTGATTTCTGTAGGACCTGGTATTTGTAAAACTAAATTGAAGACATTTTAAGGATGTACCTTACCTTTTTTTTTTTAACAAAATCAATATTACAATTTCTGTTTTGCTGAAGATCTTATCAGCAGGAGTGCAATTGTTTTTGGAGAGGTGGTTTTCCAGGAGCAGCTTAAGGCTTCCGAGAAAAACCCCACTCCAGCCTGATGTATCATCTGCCTCTGAATCCATATTCTATCTCATTAAGAAATGTTCTGGGGCGAGTGTTTTTAATTTAATTAAAGTCTGTCACAAATCTGGAAATGACGTTCAAGATTTATGTGCAAGATGTTTTACTGCTTTAGTACAAAAAGAACCCCTGTGAAGCCCTGAGCGATGCATTAGGAGTTCAGTGTTTGTGGAAAGGGAACTGCATCAAACTCATAAATACCTCCATCGCTGCAATCTGCTGTTCGACAAAGAGCTTACCTGTGCCGGCGATGACTTCTACTCCATATGGCTCCTGTTCTGTCACCCATCAGAATAATCACAAGAAATTAAAAAAACATCCAAAAGGCTTTGACTGCAGTGCAGCTGTATTTAGTGAGAAGCTTCAAAATATACCTTTTTCGTGATTATTTTTTTTAAATAGCTCAGAAAACATGAGCAGTGATCGGTTTGGTCGATCGGTGACAGTTGGACCACTTCAGCTTTCACCTTTTCTGATGCTTCTCTGAATAGTCCAGGCGGTTTCTATGGTAATTCAGTCCCTCCCTCTGTCCCTCACTGTGTGTCATCCAATTCTTCTTCCCCGCTTCACCTTTGTGTGTGTGTGTGTGTGTGTGTGTGTGTGTGTGTGGTGGTGGTGGTGGTGGTGGTGG